GGCTTTCTCAGCGGGGACCGGCTGACATGGCTTGCAGTTTGGATGAGTGTACCCAGGGTATGACCGAAGGCCACACCGGAGCAAGGAAATCCACAGGAGTCAGGGAAATACCTCCCAACACATAAATGCCAGTGTGCTTTGTCAGCAGTCGAGGGAGGAGCACAGAGGCACTGGAAGGAAGGAGGAAACTGGCCTTTTATCCCTCTGATATTCGGTGCTGGGTATTGTCTTAATTGATCCGTACAACAGTCCTTAAACGTGGATATATTATACTCATTTTACGGGTGAGGAAATTATAAAACAGCAAAGGGATTAAACACTCTGCCCAAGGTCACACGACAGGGAAATGATAGGATCAAGAGTTAAGTGAAACTCGTGTGAACCCAAAATTCACCATCCTCCCTGCTTCTCCAACCAGCTGGGGAAACACAGGCTCACATGGAAACACAGGCTCATTACATCGGCCCAATTGTTCACGCTAATGTTGGCAGTCATTCTGGAACATGCCCCCACGCACTCTCTTCCATCACCAGTAGACCTTCATCTGGCCAGGCCATTCAGAAAAGGACTGGCCCAGGGATGCTGACACACCTGCAAATCTCAGCACCGGAGGGGGAGGGGCAGGAGGAGCAGGAGTATGAGGCCAGCCTGTACCTCTCTCTCAAAACCCAAAACAAGGGCTGGAGAGATGGCTCCTAGGTTAAGAGCACTGGCTGCTCTCCAGAGGACCAGGGTTCAATTCCCAGCACATGATGGTTCGCGATCATCTATAATACAGCTCTAGCTCCAGGAGATCTGCCACCACAGGCATGTCACACATGTACCTCCATGCATCCATACACACAAACAAACAAGCGAATGAATAAATAAAACATGGGCCAGCACAGCTGACTTGGGCATGTTTCCTAACATTACTAACTAATCTTGCTAGATCTCGTCTTTTTCTGTAAAAAGAAAGTTTCAGTACTAACCACCTCACCCATTTCCTCTGAGGCTGCGGATGCTGAGAGAGGATGCTGAGACAATGCTGAGAAGAGGGAGCAGATACTGAGATGATGCCAAGAACACCACGGATGGGGATGGAGAGACTTCGGTGTCATCATTTATCATGTGCTTACACTTTTCTGTGGATCTGAACTTTCGCCCAAGGGCATTCTTTTTTTCCCTTCTTTAAGTACAACTGAGAAAAATCCCTGGATCAGTGTGATGACACAGGCCTTTAATCCCAGCACTAGGGAGGCAGAGGCCAGGCTAGTTTACACAGGGAGTGTGAGGTTAGCCTGGGCTATAGAGTGAACCCTGTCTCAAATAAATAAAAACAAGCAAAAAAGTAGTCTGTGGGGGCAGCAGTGCTGGGTGTCTGGAATGCGTTGGGAAGGCCCAGGAAAGGGAGAAAAGCCATGTTTAGAAGGTCTGGTGAGGAGAGGCAGTGCCGCAGGTACAGTGAGGGGCTGTGTTTCCAAAGAGGCTCCTGATCTTTGACTTCTCTCTGAAAGGAGATACTAGGAGCCTTCCTCTAGGGAGTTTTCAGGAAGAAGGAATAGCAGCTAGAGTTCCTAGTCTGCTTAACCAGGGTGAGGAAATTCTATTCCCTCTGTTCTGAGGGGAATTTCCCATCAAGGCAGCCAGTGACAGGGTTGGCTAGCTGAAAGAGCAGAAGAGCAGGTTCTGTCCTGAGCCCTGGAGCCAGCATCAAGTTCCAGCGCAGCCAGCAAAGCTGTGACCTTGAAGTCACCTCTCAAGGAGGTTATCTTCGAGGTCCTTCTCAGTTCTAACACTTTCTATGATCAGAAAAAATAAGCATCATCCGTCACTTACAAAACCAGACACCAGGGGCTGGGGAGACAGCTTAATGGGGGGGGGGGGGGAGTGGGGTGAGCGCTTGCTGGGCTGGCCTGGGAGCTGAGCTGAGACCTCTGGTGAAAACTGCCGCACTAGAGCTGGGCAATGGGAAGCAGAAAGAGGAGGAGCCCCAGGAGGAGCCAGCTAGCTCGTGGCTTACTCATGGGCAAAGAGATCCAGGCTTCAACAAGGTAAAAGGCGGGACTGATATCTGAAGGTTGTCCTCTGACCTCCACATGCACGCTATGGTATGTGTACAACCACACAGACGCATACAGACAGAACGGACACACACACACGGGGACATGACACACACAGAGAAATACCAAGCAAATCCAATTCAAATACACTAAAACAAGAAAGCGGTCCTAATTTTCCCAGAGCCTCCTAAGCCCAGATGAACTACCAGAGATGCCCAGAAGAAGACTAAATAACTCGATCTGGTTATCCTGACAGGAGAAGCGAGTGAGGTGGGAGCCTAAGGAATTCTCACGGTCATGCTTCTGCTTCCTAACAACAGGGAACCGAAGATTCAGCAGAGCTGGGGCTGGGTGTGGGGAGCATCTTCCTGGGCCCCTGTCCTTAAGAAGCTTTTCAATCTAAGGTAGCTCCAGTCTGGTGCCATCTTTTGGGCAATCCAGGGAATCTATAACAAATATATTCTGCCTCTCTGCTACCGGCCTGTTCTGTCTCTGGTGGTGACACTGAGACATGAGCATGGGATATGCAAAGTAGCTTTCCTGTTTCAAGTCCCACCTCTGTCATGTCCTGGCTGGCTGACACCAGTGTTAACTATTATGGCTTTTTTGTTTTTGTTTTTTTTTGCCAGGTCAGCACTGGCCTGTCTGCAGACAGTAATCAGCCCTTGGGAAGTCTTTCTCCCAATTCCCTACAAATACTAAGCAGCCTTTCCCTCCCAGTTTCCATCTGTCAGCTCTATTTAAAGAGGAACACACAAGGAGTAGTATTTATATTATCGCGCCATGCTTCCCTTTCTCAAAAGAGAAAGGTTCTGGAATGTTCCCTACTCCATATTCCCCTCAGTTTACTCCATCAACACCCCTGGCTGTTCTTCCTTGTGTAGAACAAATGCTACAGCCACCATGAGGGTGGGGGAGCTGTCCTTTGCAGTTTGCAGACTGCTCTTGCACATGTCACTTCATTTGGGGAAGCACCCCATTTATAACAATCCTGTGAGCCACAGATACTTTCCCTCCCGTTTTACAAATATGGAAATAAAATCAACTTCACGACTTGTCCATGTTCACGTCTAGAAAGTAAGTCTCACCAGGCCTCACTCAAAGTCGGGCCTCGTGACACTTTCTCTACCATCCCTCATGGTGTGGACCAAGTGTACATTCTGGAGGTATGAGGAACTTGAATCTGTGATCGGTCACAACATACAAATAAACAGACACGCCTCCCTTTTTCTCTCCAATAGCCCCAGCAGTCACACAGCACCTGTAAAATGCAGGGGCAAGGCACCACAAGGGACCTAAAGGCCCACAGGGTGTGGAGTTTTTGTAGGAACACAGTGAGGTCTCGGGGGCAAAAAAAGCAGACATTCTAGACCACCAGGCAAATCCAAAGGAGCACCCCAGAAAAATACCCAGGGCCCCCAAAACTAAATGACCATCCCTTACCCAGTGTTCCTGTGGAAAGGAAAATGGATAAGCTGCCTTCTGGCCAGGTCTGGGATCTCCATCAGATTCAGACATACACACCCATACACTCAGTAAGCCCTGAACTGCAGAAGCCAAAACCTGGGCTCACCCAGAAGCCAAAGGAGAGAAGCAGCCCCAGCCTGGGTCCAGGGCTCTCTCTCAAAGCCACTGTCTGCTCAGATGCTGGCTGTCAGGCATAGCTATAAAATGTGCCTCAACTTAATTTTTTCATGAACGCAGCCCCACATGGAACTGCCAGGCTCCGGAGGAGCAGCAGTTCCTCATGCTCACAGTGTTCCAGGAGCTAGAGCTGGAGACGGGGGAATATTTGTGGGCCCCGGGCTGCCATTCCTGGACCATGTCTTTCCTGAATATCTTTCCAAGGCCTCAGGGAAGCAAACAGAGTAAGTTTTCATTCAGGACTGTTTCGGGGCTGGAATTCAGTGCAAATTGCTTACATCTGCTTGGTCATTCCCAGACAAGCAGGTAGTTTAGAGAAAGAAGGGGCCATATTAGCCGACTTCTGGTAGCCCAGGTAGCCTGCTAAAGAATCTCCGGCCTGCTAGAGCTCAGCAGTTCAGACTGCTGAACTCTCTGACCAAGTTGAATAAAAATACCAGGGCAGTCAGAGACAATAGGACTTCCACCCTAAGCATGACTGGTGAGCTGGGACAGGGAAACCACAAAGATCCCAAAAGGGAGGTGAGATGTAGAGCCAGGTTACCCAGAAGGAGCAAGAGCAATGGCAGACTCCACGCACACTTTAACCTCAGCCAACAAGGGTGTATGCACTAACCTCATACATTTGGTAACGTCTTTCCACATCCCAAAAGCCTGCCAAGCCCCTGGACTCCCCACCCCACCCCAGCTTGGCAGCCTTGCCGGGGATTCCAGCTTCTATCACACCAGAAACACCAAAGCTGCTGCTGTATGGAACTGAAAAAAACGAGGGACAAGTACAGCCCAGAAGAGGAGCTCCTTCCCAGAGGGGCCAGAGATTCGGGCCTGAGGGTCCCAGGCTCTCCAGCAAGCTCTCAGTCTTTGGCTGCTGCAGTATCCTTATAAGGCCAATCCTACCCTCCTCCTGGCCGAAAAATGTATACAGTCCCGAGGGTGGACGCTGACTTCTCACCCGCTGCACAGGAAGCACCACTCCCATCACCCCCACTCCAGGACAGGTTTTGCTCTTAAACAAACTAATAAACAATTCGACTCCAAAGCGGTCCCATGGCTCAGCTCGCCCTGCAGCTGCACCCGGGAAGTGTGTTCGGGAGGAGGCAGCGGGTGATCGCCCGCGAGGCCGCGAATCGCTAGCGCGCCGTGGGGTGGGGGGCGAGCAACCTGCCGGGCGCCTGGGACCCGACTGGGCTCTCGGCGCTGCCATTGTTGCCCCTGGCGCTAGTGCTTTGGGGCGGGAGCCCTGCCCTCGTCGCCCCGGCTAGCTGGGCGCTCTGCAGCCCCCGGGCGGTGCTCACCTCCGAGTACTCGTCCTACCTGCGCTGGCCGCGGGTTCCGCCGCGACACCCTGACTGTCGTGGTTGGGCGACTTGGGCTCCCACGCCCCGGCTCGCTCTGTGGCTCCAGGAGGCTCCGTTCCCCGCGTGAGGTGCAGTACCGCCCGCTCCCCTCGCCCGCCCCGCGCCGACTCTGGGATCCCCGCTGCAGGGGACGCACGGGCAATCGACGGGTGTGGGGGGTCGGTCCGGGGCCCGGTGCTGTCTGCGGGGAGCGTGCACGAGCTCGCAGTCAGTCAGGCGGCCCCGGGTGAGACAATAGCGCGAGCGGCGGGCGAGCGGGGAGAAGCCATCTCCCGGACAGCCGGCGCACTGCACGGCGAGCGAGGATCGCCCGCTCCTGCCAGCACCGCGGCCCAGGCCGCCGGCAGCAGCCGCAGCGCCGAATCGCCGAGACGCCGGAGCCGAGAGGGCGGGGCGGCGGGAACCTGGCCCCCACCCTCCCTCTCTTCCTCCCGCCTCCCGCCTCCGCACCGTGCTCGGCGTCCTGAGCGGACCCCGGGGCCAGCAGTCCCACTCCCCGATAGCAGATGGTCGTTGCTTTCCAGGCTGGAACCCTTTGCTCTGAGGTCAGGTGAAAGCAAGCCAGATCATCCTATTGGAAGGGACACGGGGTGGGCGTTCAGTTGCCGGTTTGAGGAATTTCTCTCATAATTATGCATGCTAGGGATGCCCGAAAGAACTACCACCTTGATGGAGGAGGTGCAGGTGCAGATGTTGGCACTTTTCTCTCCCGTTTACCCAAGGGCGGTCTTCAAACCTGAGCGGGGAGGAGAATCAGAGGAGCCTCCAAACCAATTAAGATAGGAAGAAAACTTTGAAACTGTTATTTTCTCTGAGCACCTCCCTTAAAGCACCTGTGTCAAGCATTTTCCAGAAGACTCCACCCAGTACTGGCCAACTCTACGTTTGCGTCTGGTTTGCTAAATAACTCAGATCTCCAAGTACCCTTTCCTCAACCACGGATCTTGTTCTCTGCTCTCTTCCTTTCTTGCCTTTTTCTCCCCTTTCCAGTCACATTGTGAAGCTCATGGTTCTCAACCCTCCTTCTCGGAACCCCTTCAAGCACTGGGGGAATCTCAGCTCTGATGCCCACTGCCCTCCAGCCAAAACTCGCATGGAAACAGCTGCTAAGCATACTTAAGATGCTACCATTCCTGTCTGTTAAAGTCAGAAATGTCTTTATAAAACTTATGGGACCTTTAATTGTCCCCCCTATTTATATGAAACTCTGCAATAAACCCAAGCAGTTTTCCAAGAGACAAGGGCTAATGGCCTTCCTAGACTGGTAGAAGTAGAAACTGGAAAGGGCTCAAAAAGAGGAGAAACATCAAGTAGAAAGGGAGTTTGAGGGGTTGGAGAGATGGCTCAGAAGCTAAGAGAACTGACGGCTCTTCCAGAGGACCAGGGTACAATTCCCAGCACCCACATAGCAGCTCATAACTGTCTGTAACTCCAGTTCCAGTGGGTCTGACTCCCTCAAACACCAATGCATATAAAGAGAAAAAAAAGGAAAGGGAGTTTGAACAACTAGAGGAAGTCTTATGCAGTCCTGTGGAAGAGAAAGCAATACAAAAAGAGAGTTCACAAGCCCGGCCTGGTGCTGCAAACCCTCTGTTCCAGCACTTGGGAGGCAGAAGCAGGCAGATCAGGTAGCTCCCCAGTGGTGTGTAACTCTAGGGGGATCTGTTGCTTTCTTCTGGCCTCTGCAGGGATCCACACGCATGTGCACATACCCACACAAACATAAACTAAATCTTAACCAAAACAAAAAAAAAATGAGTTCACAGTTCTAAACTATTTGGGGGAAAGTATTGTTTTGTTTTCATTGAAGATGAACTCTGGGCCAATGAAAAGGAACCTTGTGGGCATTACCAGGCAAGGTAGAGGAGCCTGTGGGAGTTCAATCAGGTTCCAGTGGTTTGAAGAGTAAAAGACAGGTTCTAGAAGCTTATCACCCAGAGGAGAACTATAATGCAGGAGACAGAGGAGCGTGAAGGATTACCAAAGGTGTTATTACTTGGCACAGGTTTCCACATGTAGCTCAGGCTGGCATTTGAACTTGCTATGTAGGCCAAGCTGACTTCAAAGTCCTGATTGTCTGTTTCCTGAGTGCTGAGCCACCACATTTGGCTTGGTTTTCTTCTAAGACGAGGAAGAAGCGTGTTCATAGGTTGAGAGGGAAGAGCAAGGTAAGAAAGGAAGAAAAATGAAAACTGTCCCAACTGAAGAAAGGACACGGGACAGAGCAAATGGTAAAGTTGTCTGAGATGTCTTCGAGTGGGGAGACTCAGGGGCAGATGACATCTATAGACTGCTACATCTAGAGGCTATGCCCTGAGGAAAAAGACCGTGCTCCTTGATAGTCTCTAAGCAATCTGTGAGAGAAAGGGAGTCAAACCAGATATGAAAGCTGGGCATGGTGATGCACCCTTCTAATCCCAGCACTCGGGAGGCGGAGGCAGGTGGACTTCTGAGTTCGAGGTCAGCCTGGTCTACAGAGAGAGTTCTAGGACAACAAGGGCTATACAGAGAAACCCTGTCTCAAAAACAAAACAAAGAAACAAAAGATAGAATTGAAGACTTAAGGAAAACGGTTAAAGTTAAAATAACCATAGGAATGATGGGGTATATAGCTCAGTTTACAAAAGGCCTCCTTAAACCCCAGCACCAAGAGAGGAGTAGGGATGGGGGCAGCAACTGCTCACAGGTAGCGTAGAAGCCACAGCTAGTACTGGGTATTTTAGTACTGTGCTGATGCTATCTGAATGTTTCCTTCTGTAGCACTTAGACACCCAGGTACAACATTGAGCCAGAGTTGCAGGTGTATGGGAGAGGTTCAGCAGAAGGGTAAAGAAGAGGGCTCTTGCCTGATGGTGGTGGTGCAGGCCTTTAACCACAGCAGGCAGAGACAGAGACAGAGGCAGAGGCAGGTGGGTCTCCAAAGCCAGCATGGTCTACACAGCAAGTTCCAGGACAACCAGGGCTACACAGAGAAACCCTATCTCAAAAAAAAAAGTGAAGAAGAAAAGAAGAAGAGGAAGAGGAGGAGGAAGAAGACAGCTCTTAGCAATATGAGATTGCCTAAAAGAAGGAAGTGAAGCTAAGAAAAGGCTTTAAAACTTTTTAAAAATTCTTTTATCTTTTTTTATTCGTTAACTGATGCTCTCCTCCCCATACTAGCTCTGTAGACCAGGCTGGCCTCGAACTCACAGAGATCCACCTGCCTGTCTCCTGAGTACTGGAATTAAAGGCATGTGCCACACTATTGCCCGGCTTAACTGAAGTTTTTGAGACAGAATCTTTCACTATATAACCTTGGCTGGTCTGGAACTTGTTACCAGATTCTTCTTGGATAGAGAGCCTGCCTACCTCTGCCCCAGAAGGGGATTGAAGGTATGTGCCACCACAAACAGCCCTTACTGTAGTTTTGAAACTTCTGTGTTCATGGAGAAGCCAACAGTGCCGGGCACATATGGCTTCCTATGATTTCAAATTTAAATTCCCGTAGAAAGTCTATGAGACCTTTTGTAGCTGGACCCTGCTTTTCACTCTAGCCTCAGAGGAAAGTCCTTGTCTCACTCATCGCTGAAGCCCAAATTGATACCTGCCACAGTGTGTTCAGTAGATGTATGTTCTACTTGGTGGGCAGAACTTCCGGCCGAAGGGATGGCCATCTCCTCACCCCCAAAATGAAAGGAGGTGCTCTATGGCAAGGCAGAAGGACTTTACAGGCGTGGTTAAGGCCTTGGAGATTAAGAAGTGAGATTATCGCTCCTTAAGGCCCAGTCTAATCACTCCCGCCCCTGACACGGGACAGTCTTCCCCCAGCAGAAGCCAGAGGGCCTGTGATGACGGAAGAACACTTGGAAAACGAATGTTGCTGGAGACGCTCTAGAGATGAGGTAGGGCAAGAAACAGAGGAAACACAGCTCTGCTGTCACCTGGACTTCAGTGACAGTGGGTGGACTTCTAACCTGCTGAGCTGTCAGGTCAGGGGACAGGGGGTTGTTTTTGAGAGGAGGTCTGATACGGCCCGACTAGCTTCAGACTTGCTCTAAGGGTGGTCTCGAACTCCAGATCCTCCTGCTCAGCACCTCCCAAGTGCTGAGATTATGGTCATTGCACAGACACTTGGCTCATATTGGTCTGTTTGGCAGCACTGGGGACTGAACACAGACACAATGCCATGCATGAGAGGCAACACTCTACCTCTGAGCTACTGCCCTAGGCCTAGCTCTCTGTGCTTTAAAATCCACTTTACTGGGTTGGGTGTGATTTGTTATGGTAGCAATAGTAAATATTATATTTAATAATATTTATTTTAATAATTTAATTAATTGTTGGGGGTTTATTTGTTTGTTTGGTTGGTTTTTGGGTTTTTGAGACAGGGTTTTTCAGCTTTGGAGCCTGTCTTAGAACTTGCTCTGTTGACCAGGCTGGTCTTGAACTCACAAAGATCTGCCTGTCTCTGCCTCCCTGAGTGTCAGTGCTGGGATCAAAGGGCATGTGCCACCACCGTCTGGCTATTCATTAAATTTTTTAATTTAAAAGAATGTTTATTGTCCTGGTTCCAGGGGAAGCTTCTCTACAGGACCTCCTTACACACTCTTAATTTTTTTTCCCCCTTTTTATTTGAGACAAAGTCCCTCAATGGTCCAGACTGAGACTAGCTGCCCAGTGAACTCTGAACCCTTGTCTCCTCCCATCTTGCCGTCTCTGGGATTACAAGAGAACTACAATGTCGGATACTTTCAGTGTAGATATTGGAGATCTGAACTCAGGTCTTCATGCTTTCAAGGTAAGCCCTCTACCAACTGAGCTCTGTCCTGAGTTCTCTTGTCTTCTACTGTCCTCTGCTTCTCTCTGTCTCTTTTAGAGGGAGGGTAACTTGTTTGTTTTTATTGAAAGACAGGATCTCACTATAGTCTGATTTGTTCTCAAACTCACAACAATCCTCCAGCCACTGCCTCTTTGTCTGTTTGTTTATCAAGACGGGGTTTCTCTGTGTAGCTTTGGGGCCTGTCCTGGAACTCATTCTATCTAGATCCAACTGCCTCTGTCTCCCCGAGTGCCCCAGCTGGGTTTGGCACCGCTTGCGTGTAATCTCAGTCCAGAAGGAAGGAAAGAAGGATGACGAGCTCAAGGCCAGACCCGGATATAGGAGACCTCATCTCAAAAATAACAAAGGTTAGAGAGATGGCTCAGCCCTTAGAGCACTCTCTGCCTTCAGAGGACTGGGATTCAATTCCCGGACCCACATCAGGCTGCACACAACTGTCTGTAACTTCAGTTCCAGAATTTCAAAACCTCCTCTGGCCTCCACAGGCATGGTCTCCACTTGGTGCAAAGTCAAACAGGTACACATACACGTAAATTTAAAAATAAAAGAAA